TATATCCAAGATAGACCTCTGAGCACCTCTGCTTCTCCTGGAAAATGAGGTGAGGGGTGGGTTGGGGTGGGGGGGTAGAAGCTGTCTGTTAGGTTCTGGCTCTTGCTGCCCTCAGGCTGTTTAAGGCTGGGAGCTGTCAAAGTTGGCCAGGCCCACCAGGTTGAGGAGCGCCAGGGAAAGCTTCCTGGAGGAGGAAGGACAGAAATAAGTCAGTGAGGACAGGAATCGCCTCGAGGTGTCCTGGCTCAGGCAAAGAAGCCCTAGGGCCTCCAAGATCAGGAGGAAGGCAATACAAACACTCACATTTATCCATTCAACAAATATTTATTGAGTGCTTACTAGATGTGCTAATGCTGGGGACACAGTGGTGACCAAGACAGAGAATGTCACTACCCTAACGGAGCCACAGTGGTAAAACAGAAAATAAATGTGTACATTAATAAATAAGGTTTTTTTATAGTGTATGTTAAGAACATAAGTTATTTAGTAAGAGCAGAGGGGCTGACGTGTGATGGGTGACCTGCGAGGCCTCTCTGAGAAGGTAACTCAGGAGCCAGTCACAAGAGGATCTGGGGAAGGGGTGTTCCAGGCAGAGTAAGCAGCAAGTGCAAAGGCCCTGAGTGAGGAAGAAGTTTGGCTGGGTTTGAGGAACCCCGGGGTACTTGGAGTGCTGAGAACAAATGAAACAGCGGTTTGAAAGGAGAAGAGAGAAATAGGCCAGATGGTTTAGAACCTGCTAGCCAAGAGGACAAGCTTAGATTTTGTTCCAAGTGTGATGGGTAGCCCTTGAAAGGTTTTGAGAAGGGGAATGACATAATCTGACAGGTTTCCAAAAATACCCTGCTGATTGCTATGTGAATGTAGGGAGCCCACGGAGAAGGCAAAAGTCACAGTGGCGTGGACCAGGGTGGTGGCAACCGAGAGAATGGCTGGACTGGGGATGTGTTTGGGAGAGAGCAGATACATCCCCACCAAGGCTGGATTTTTTCCCCTGAGATGGAACATCCTACATGGGTGGTATCAGTCCCATTTGTGGTGAAGATCAATTTCTTCCCATTTCCTTTCAAACAGAGTAGAATCAGCTAAGCTTCCTGGAGGTTTTAAGAGAGGCTACTTGGTGAAGGAGCCAGAGGCCTCTACCAAGCTAGCATATGCTCCCCTCACCCCCACTATGTGCACATCCCTCTGCAGTTTACAAAGGCTCACAACAAGGAGGAAATGAGGCTCAGAGAGGCAGAGAGACTACCCAAGGCCACGTAGCACCTAGGGCAGGGCTGGGCAGCAGACCCACAAACTCAGCATATTGCCACCTTGCCTCTCTGACTCTCACTGTATGAGCTGTGATATGACGGAGGCAGGAGGGCAAGTGCTGACCCCCTTTTAGAGAAAGTGAAATGGAGGTTCAGGAAAATGAGGATGCATGTCCTGGGCAGGCTGTTTTAAGACCTTGTTGGCCCCACATCGATCAAGCATATTAAAATGCAGCCATATCAAACATCAAATGTAAATTATATATAACCAGATAAAAGCCAAATTGCAGTTGACTGGCTAATATCATGTTCTGGTTTGCAGACATTTAATTAAACATTTATTAATTTTGATTCTGCAGTTTTTCTCTGTGTTTTAGAGCCAATTTTTCCCCCCAGGCCTCAAACATTTTCCTAGGCCCATAAAAACCTCACAGGCCCTTGGCATATAGTGTGACTGGCAGGAACAGCCACAGATTTTGGTTCTGTTGCCAAAGCAGGCAGAGTATTGCTGAACCTAGGCCCTTTCATCCCCAGACTATGACATGATCTTTCTACACTCCCCGCTGACCCTGTTTTTGGGTCTCAGAGGCCGTCTTTCTTCCCCTCCCCCTTCCCTGCTCTGGCCCACTGTGGTCCTGGGCTGAGTGAGTCCTTTGTCTGTGGTTAGCTGGGCTGTGGGGCATTGGGAGCTAGCAGGAGTGGGCGGGGAGGTGGGCAGGCAGCCTGTCAGGTGGTGATGGATGCTGGCTGGGCTGGGGCCTCCCTCATGCTGACCAGGGCCAGGAAACAGATGGTCTTCCAGCCTGAGAGAAACTTCCAGGGTGTCACCCTCCCCCCAACTCCCCAGGCCCCTTCATGCCGGCCCAGCTGGTCTCTCCTTCCTGTTCAAAGCCAGAGCCATGGGAATGGGGAAGGGAACTGGGTCAGGGGAAGACGGAGGCTGGGAAAGGTGGTCTGTGTTTTGGCCCCTCAGAAGCTCTGGGCTCCATCTTGGTCTCTCCCCTAGCCGCCGCCCCCCTCCCCACCTCCAGCTCTGTTCTCTGTGCCTCCTCTGTGCCCTGCCTTAGCTCAGTCCTGTCATTTCAGGCCTGGACCAAACCCCAGCCTCTCCTGGCTTTCCTCCAAGCCAGCCTCCAGAGCAAGCTTTCCAAGCCACTGAGCTTATCACATCACCCCAATTCTGGGATAGAATTCAAATTTAGAATAAAATATGAACTTTCGGTCCAGAATTTGATGCCCCTCACAATTCTTGTTTTCTTATGCCCATGTCCATGAAACCCCCCCCTCCAGGCCAGCAAACCACTGGCCATTCCCCTAAAAGGCTATGTTCTCTCATGCCTCTATGCCTTTGCTCAACTCGTTCTTCCACCCGGAGTGCCCTTCCACCTCCTGTGTGCCTTCAAACACCTACTCATGCTTTAAAACTGAGGTCAAATGTTTCTTCCTCCAGGAAGTCTTCCCTGACCCTCCTCAGCCTCCCAGCAAAAGTTACCCATCTCTTCTCTGGATTCCACAGCATCTTAGAGAATCTATTTCAGCTCTTAGCTTGTCTCTCTCCCATGGGTGTGAGAAACACTTAAGGCACAGGATATGGCACATAGCAAGTGGCCAAAATACATTTGCTATATGAATGAATGACTCTGGCTGCAGGGATCCTTATGTGGGGAGTAGGTAGAGGCTCAGAGAATGAAAGATGGAGAGAAACAAATTTTTGCTCGTCAAAGAAACACAATCAGTCTGGAGCTGCTCAGAAGCAGAAGGCCCTGCCTCAGGTGGTAGGGACTCCCTACCACGAAAGTGTGCGAGCAGAGAGTGTAAATACATGGGACTGGGAAGTGCTAAAAGAATTTCAGCATTGGATGGGAGAGTCAGACTGAGGGACCAGGGATGGGAAGAAAAGCCCTGGATGGGATGTTTCCAGACAATTTTCAGAGACATTAGCTCTAAAAGGATCTCCAGAGTCATCAAACCCATCCTTATTGTTGGCTTATGGAGAAACTGAGGCCCAGGGATGACTACATCATTGCTAACACCAGGATACTCATTGGAGAAACTCTGGGTCTATCAGTTGATCCCAAATTCCAGGGAGCACTGTGGTTCCATCCTTGGGTTGGCTATACACAGTTGAATACCTTTGGCCTTCAAATAACATTCTGAAAATGCCCGCACTCTGTATTTGGGAAATCCCTGGCTCCCCAGTTTCTGATTCAGGCAATAGGGTCACTAAACATGTTGGTATTTTTCTCCCCTTGTTTCTGGAGAGATTACTTCTAAAGGAACTGTCTCTGGTTTCAACAAAAGGCACGCCTGCCTCATGAGTCTGAGAATTTGGGTGTTTGGGGGCCAGTGTCTATGACTGCAACAGCCAAGGGTGGAGCTGCTGGGCAAGGCACCAGGGCAGAGAGGAGAAATCAGACCCAGAGATCTGTGTGAACAGGTCCCTTGTCACCCAGTGGTCACTGCAGTCTATAGTTGCAAATTATCTTCTTATCCAGTTAATCCTCATAGCCACTTTGGTAGGGATTAACTAGGGCTCAGAGAGGATCTTCTTGCTCAAGATTACACAGCAAAGTCAAGAATTGAACTCAGAACTTCAGGATTCCTTCCATGCCCCTACTGGGTTACCAGAGTTCCATTCAGTTAAACCTTCAAACATTCACATATTCATTCATTCATTCATTCATTCATTCATTCATTCATTCATTCAGGCAACCCACAGATTGAGCCTGAACTGTGTGCTAAGAATTGAAGATACAGCAGTTAGCAAGCCAACCTAATTATTCTCACAGAGTTCACAGTCTGGGGGAGACAGATGCAGAAGCAAGCAGCTCCAACCCACTGTGAAAAGTGCAGGGTTGGAGGGCAGCCTGGGAGAGGCCCCTACTCCAGGTGGAGAGTGGTCAGCAGGGGCTGCCTGGAAGAAATCATGTTTATAAGCTGAGCCTTGGGGGAAAAGCAAGAGTTATCCAGGTTGGAGTGGGGTGGGGTGGGGGACAGGGTGGGTGTTCCAGGCAGAGGGAACAGCAGTTGCAAAGCCCCGTGGAGAGAGGGAGCACTGTGAGCTGGAATCTATGACCTGTACAGTGTAGCTGGAGCCAGGAAGTGTGTTGGGAGAAGTGATGTGAGAAGCAGCAGCAAAGTTTCAAATGCCAGGGAATCTCTAAGCAGCTTCCCTGTGCCTGTGGGGAGAACTGGGCACTCAGAGGTGGGATTGGGAACAGGCCAGAAAGCTGCTGGTGGCAACAGAACTAGGGGCTGGCACCAGGAACTGTTCCTGTGTGAGCAAACTACGGCATACAGGGAGAGGCAGAGTGGCATAATGGTTAGAGTGTGAGCCCTGAAGTCAGGCTGCCTGGGTGTGAATGCTGGTTCCACTGCTTCCTAGCTGTTGACCTTGGAGAAATGACATACCTCTCTGGGTCTCAGTTTTCTCATCTATAAAATGGGGATAATAATAGGGCTATTGTAAGCTTAGGATCCCGGTGAAGTAAGCAGACCCCAAAGAGCCAGAGCAATAATGACAAGAATGCTGGATTAGGCACTTACTTTGTGTAGAGCCCATTGGGAGCTCCCCAACCACAGCCCCAGAAGTGATCCTTCCAAAATGCCCATTTCACATTTGTGGTAATAGGTTCAGTACAGTAAGTGACTTGCCCATGGGCTACACACGGCCGCACTTGCCCTTTGCGCTTGCTGGGTGGCAAGGGTCGGGTGAGGAGTGGGTGCCTGAGCACCGCGTCCCTCCGGCAGGTACCTGCGCACCATGTACCTGGGGCTGCAGAGCCGCTGGCGCGGGGAGCGGCTCCGGCGCCACTTCTACTGGCGGATGCTGTTCGAGAGCGCGGACGTGAGCATGCTGCGCCTGCTGGAGACCTTCCTGCGCAGCGCGCCGCAGCTCGTGCTGCAGCTCAGCCTCCTGGTGCACCGAGGCGGCCGTCCAGACCTGCTGCCCGGTGAGCCCCGCCCCCCGCCCCGGTTCCGGGCTCTGGGAATGCCCTGCGTCCCTGCCCCACCCCCAAACCCAGGCTCACTCATCTTTGGTATTCTGTATTCTGACTGCCCCACGTGTCAACTCTCCCTGCTTCAGGCCCCCTGGAGATGACCTGTGCACCTCCTTACCCCTCCCCACTCACTGTCAAGGTTACTCTCACCACCCTCCAGGCCTCTGAAGACTTTCAAGTCCCGTCCAATGGCCCACTTACCCTCAGTGTTAGGAGAGACCTGACGCCTCCACCTCTTCTCCTGCTCTCAATCCCCCCCCCCCCATGACCCCCATTCGGCCCCTCCTCCCTTCCCCATCGTCAGGGCAGACTAGACCCAATTTCTGCTAAGTCCAAAGAGGCCCTTGACCCCATCACCACACCTCAGGCCCTCACCTGCCTCCTTCATTCTCCAAATTGTCCTGATACCAGCCTGCATCTCCCAGGGACCTCCTGCCTCACAGAACTGCCCCATCACCATCAGTTTCCAGAGAGACTGTCCATCCACCTTCTCATGGCTCTTCAGGCCCCTGGGAACCCTTCCCAGGCCAAGTTCCGGTCCCATGCATTCACCTCCACCTTGCCCCTTCCCTAACTCCAACAGACCAGGTAAACCCCTTCCTGTCAGAGAAAAGCCCATCCCTACTCTCCCTGGAGCCCCCTGTGCTCCTCCATACCAGATTGCCCAGCCCACTGTCAATGTCCTGAAAAACTGTCACAGCCTCTCAGGCCCCCTGGACATCCCTTGCCCAGGATACCAGGCCCCTATCATGCCACCCTAGATTTTCTCTCCATCCTCTCAGCTGTACTCAACTTGGATATCCCTCTTCACATCCTAGCCTCAACTTGGTGACCTATAGCTTCTAACAGTCCCCTCCTGGCTCCTCCATGCCCTAATTGTGACACTCTCCTCCCCCACTCTTTACCTTCTTTTCCGTTCCCAGAGTCCTAGACCCTAATTTCCCACCAAACCCCTGAACCCTAACAGTCCCATACTAGAGATCCAGACCTGACCCTTGTGGAGACCCAAATCATCCACCTTCCCTCTCCCTTTATGCTCCCACCCTTGCAGAAGTACCCAGCTCCATCCACTCTCACCTCCCATCATCACTCTTGAAGACCACCCATTAAGACCCTCCCCACACCCTGCCTGATTTATAGACCCTTCCCCCACACCTCCTCAGAACCCAGCTCCTGACCCGGAACCCTCCCCTCTACCCAGACTCCAACCCAGACCCACCCCTAACCCAACCCACCCCGCCCCCACCCTGTCTCCACAGCCCTTTCCACCTCTGCCTCCCTCGTGTCCCTGGCCTGGACTCTGGCCTCCTATCAGAAGGTGCTGCGGGACTCACGAGATGACAAGCGGCCACTGTCCTACAAGGGTGCCGTGGCCCAGGTACTGTGGCACCTGTTCACCATTGCAGCCCGCAGCCTGGCCTTCGCGCTCTTCGCCAGCGTCTACAAGCTTTACTTCGGCATCTTCATTGTGGCCCACTGGTGCATCATGACCTTCTGGGTCATTCAGGGCGAGACGGACTTCTGCATGTCCAAGTGGGAAGAGATCATCTACAACATGGTAGTGGGCATCATCTACATCTTCTGCTGGTTCAATGTCAAGGAGGGCCGCAGCCGTCGCCGCATGACCCTCTACTACTGCATTGTTCTGCTGGAGAATGCAGCGCTCACTGGCTTCTGGTACTCAAGCCGCAACTTCTCCACTGACTTCCACTCGCTCATCCTGGTCTGCGTGGTGGCCTCCAGCTTCGCACTGGGCATATTCTTCATGTGTGTCTACTACTGCCTCCTGCACCCCAACGGGCCCATGCTGGGTCCCCAGGCGCCTGGCTGCATCTGCCCTGAGGCCCCAGAGCCCTGTGGCCCACCAGCCGATGCTGTCACAAGTCCCCCAAGGTCCCTGCCCAGGACTACAGGAGCTGAGCGGGATGGGGCCTCAGTGGGGGGCGAGCGTGCAGGGACCCCCACACCACCTGTCTTCCAGGTGCGGCCGGGCTTGCCTCCCACACCAGTGGCCCGCACCTTGCGGACAGAGGGGCCTGTCATTCGGATTGACCTGCCTCGAAAGAAGTACCCCGCATGGGATGCTCATTTTATTGACCGAAGGCTCCGGAAGACCATTCTGGCGCTGGAGTACTCCTCGCCTGTCACGCCCCGGTTGCAGTACCGGAGCGTGGGGACCTCCCAGGAGCTGCTGGAGTATGAGACCACAGTGTAGGCCACGTTTCCCCTGCAAAAAGGATTGGGCTGGGCTAACCCCACATCGACCAGTGTTGAGCCTGGAATTTCAGGGCCACCAGGCCAAGGGGAAGTGGATCTGTTGGTTCAAGGGTAGAGTGGCTCCACCATTGGGTTCTTTCAGGGGAGGAGGCAGCCTTGTGGAGGCCCCAGCCCTAGACCCTGTTTTCAGCCCTGTGGCCCGTTCTCTAAACCCCCCTTGAACCAGGGCCCAGGGAATTAACTGGTGCTACACTCCCCATGAGCTGCCTGCTTTCATGAAGGCCTCTGTACCACCTCTGGTGCTGAGGCCACACCCTCTCCCCTGCCTGAAGTTGCCCACGTGTCACCCCTGGTGGACCCGTTAGAGAAGGGGCACTGTCTGGTCCACGACTGAGGCCCTGTGCTCCTGAGGGGGCTCTGGGGGTGGGCTGCCTCTTTGGTGGGAGATCTCTGAGCATGAAGGAGACCGTGGAAGATGTGGGATGAGGTGGGAGCGTCTGGTGGACAAGGTGGGTACCATTCCTGTAGGGTCCAAGGTCTGGAGCCTGGGCCAGAGAGGAATTAAAGGAGGGAGTTGGGGTGGGGTGGGGAGTTGGGGGTGGGGGGCAGACAGTGCTAGAGCTGGAGGGGAGGAAGAACCCTGAGATATTTGAGGGGTTCAAGCTGGCTGAAACATGAAGGGGTAATAGATTTGCGGGCGGGGAACCCTCCATCCAGAACATAGAGAATGTTCCCCAAGTGAACTCCTCTAGAGACACCCTTTGTTATGGGTTGTGTTATGGTTGAGGTTCTAGACACTTCAAGTGAAATGTTTCTGGAAACTTTCTTTGTTCTAGATGAGCATCTAGAATGTTTCTTATAGAAAAAGGTTTTGAACGCCACAGATAAAATGTCCAGGAAGATACTCTGTCTGAGGTTCTAGCACATTTAGCAGAGGAACTGTTCTAGAGAGACCTTCTTGGTTCTGGATTAAGTCCTAGAACACTTAGCTAATAAAATGTCCTAGGGAGTCACTGATCTGGATTCTGTTGCAAGAGTTAGTGCACTAGAGCCCTGCTGCTGTGCTCTGGGGAATTCTAGCCCCTGCCTTGGTAGAGGTGGAGGGGCCTCTAGAACCCCAGGTGAGTGGAATATTCTAGGAATAGGCACTCCAGTTCCAGACTTCTGGGACTCATTGGAGTTCTGTGCTCCTGTCCGCCTTGGTCCATAACCATCTTCCCAAGAGGAAATTGTCCTCAGGAACCCCTGCTACATTTCAACTGCCAACTGCCTTCCAGCTAGAAAAAATGAGCTCCGGGACGTAACATAAATCTTGGTCCTCAGCCACCCTGCAGATGAGGCTTCCTTTAGGCAGCTGGAAAATGGCATTGTTTTGCCCAACTCTTGGAACTTGTGGTTTGTTCCCATGTCCCAAATATCCCCTGGTGCCCATGAGATCATTCATCCAGGGCCTCGCCTCTCCACATGGGACAGCCAGTCCTGGATAGGGGAGGGGAGGGGAGGAGTAGGCAGTTTGTAGGATGAGGGGACAAAGCCTCTAGGCAGAGCTTGGAACCCCCCCCCCCCACCACCACCACCACCACATCCCCACTCCCCTGCCAACTAAGGTGTGTTCACTGCAAGGAAACAGCAGGTGATGTTAAGGCCAGATGCAGACCTAAGCTGGGGGTGAGGTGGACCACGAGAATCCTAGACTATGCAAATTAGAGGAGCACTTAACTCTCTCTGGTTCAGCCTCCCTGGGGTTATAGATGGGAAACTGAAGCCCAGAGTGGTAGCTAGTCTCACAGGGTCCCAGACTCCTGCTGTTCCGTCAGATAGTGATAGGTGATAGTGCGTTTCTGATGATGAAGGGAGAGGGCCACACTCAGGTGACCCCAAAGGCAGAGAGGACAGGACCACCCACATACACATGCACATATAAGCACACATCAAACCTGTGACACAAGTCACCTCACCCCCGGCACAGCAGCCTGAGACGGTGTGTGCATCTCTCCCACCAATACACAAAGCATGCTTCCCCTCTTCCTTCTACTTCCTTAATCCGTGAGAAGCCTTAGGAACCAGGCTCATGGTGATAGGGGCAGGGCAAGCCTGAGGCTGACCCAGGCCCCCTCTGGTGGACTCACTGATCCTCCTTGCTCTACCCAAATCAGTCTTTGGAGACCGAATTTCATGGCCAGTTACACACGTGCCGAAGCCCTTTGTGGGATGGGAGCACTGAGGATGTGGACCCAGATCCTCTTGGCTGTTTCTCCAGGGCTGACCGTGCCAGTTTTCACCCCACCTTGTTTCACTTAAACTTTCCCCTGCTTGCAACTTCCTTTAAAAAGAAGTGTTATCAACCCATCTTACAGAGGAGGAAACTGAGACTCAGAGAGGTGACATGTGGGTCACCCTTGGCAAGTTATTTTACTCCCCGGTGTCCTAGAATGGCTCATCTGGCTGCCTCATTCTTCAGCATCCTAAAAGGAAAAGTTAAAAAATATTTTCCCTTGGAGCTGGGGGTCCTTACAGCTCCATGACGTACCCAGAGAATAGGGAATAAAACCAAATTGGTAGTGTTGAGGCATGGCTTGAGGTTCCCAGGGAAGCCTTGGCCACATTTTTGGACCTTATTCCATCCCCACCACCCTCATCTTCTCAATCCCACGAAACCTTCCCTTGGGACCTCTGCCTGCAAGACGTCTGAGCAGCAGAAATGGCCCTCGGTGATTGCTACAGGCACCTCCTCCTGTTTCTCATCCTTGGGGAAAAGCTTAGCCCCTTAAGGACTCCCCCACCCAACCCTAGGAACTCAGGCCCTCATCCCTCCCAGGCCTGAGGTCCCTCTCCACCAGCCTGTCCACCTCATCTAACCCTTGCCGGTCCCCTTGTTTCACAGGAGTCGCAGTGGGGAAGGGCACCATCCCATTCGAGCTGTTGTTTTGTTTTTTTCTATGAGAATCTACCTCAGCCAGTCTCTTCCCCACTGAAATTGGATCCCCTGATTCCTGCTCCCCATTTCCTGTCCCGCACCGCAGCCTAGCTGCTCAGTTCTCCCCCGAAACCCTACAGGGTCCTTACAGTGAGAGCAGGTTCCAGAACCACAGCCCAGGGGAGCCCTTGGGATCCCCTAAGCCACTTGCCCTCCACGTCCACTGTAAAGGAGAAATGGAGGCCCAGAGAGGGCAGGGACTTGCCCAAGATCCCGCAGGAAGTCAGTGCAGAGTAAGGCCTTTCCTGAAGCTGAGACATAGTTGGGTCTGTCTTAATTTTTCCAAGAATAGGAAACAGGACACTCTGGATACCCAATATGCCAGGCCCTGCCCTGCCCTCCGTATTTTCATCCCCAAGAGACCAGTGTCCCCATTCCCAGGACAGACTTCTGTCTTCTAGTTTTCTTGAACTGATCCCTCAGGCTGCCACGGACTGTGCTCCCCAACTTCTCCAGACACCACACACTCGTCATCATACCTCCATGCACTGATGTGCCACGTGCCTTGTAACTGCCATCCCGGTTAAACAGCACAGACCTCCACCCCTCCCCAACAGGGGACTCCCAACAGGAAAGTCTTTTTTGATCCCCTCCTCTCATCTGCCTCATCCCCAAAATCTGCCTATCCTCTAGACAGCTCCCTGCTAAACTTGTGTCCCAGAGAGGTGTGTCACTCGCGAGAGTTGGAGAAAGCAGAGAGCAGGGAAGGCAAGGCCTGGGGAAAGTCCAGGTCTCAGGGCGAAGGTCAAGGGGGCTGAGAGTATCCAGGAAAGGTCTTGCCTGGCAGCCCCTAAGGGCCAAAGTTCCACAGGTCCTCCTGCCCTTGGAGTTCACCTGGGCCTGGAGTTGACAGAAACCAGTCGGGAGAAGGTTCTGGGGTCGGGTGCATGGGTTGCCCATTCAGATGCTTTCAGGTAATGAAATGAAATGTGGACGTGCTGGATGACAGGGGTGGTGTGGGCTCTGGCAAACGGGAGAGTGCCTACCCTGTCTATAGGCAATAGGCATTAAAGTGCAAATTTTTGAGAAACCCATTTAGTGGCCCAACTAAACACTCATACTTGGGCTATGGGCCGCCAGTTTGAAACTGCTGGTTCAAAATGAGAACATTCTGGGGAGCCCTACAGCATCTGGACACCCCTCTGGGGAAGTTAAGGATAGAGGCCCTGGCTCCCTCTGAGACTTTTCTAGTCCAACCCTAAACTCCCACTACCTAGCCACCCTCCCAGTTGAAAAAGGGAAGGAGGTCAGGGCATCCCAGAGTCCTTGATTTGGGAATCACCATCCGATATGGGCTAGAGGCCACTCCATTGCCTGATGGAGCTAGTTTAGGGGTGGGATCTTCTCTAGTTTGGGGGCCCCTGGTGAGGAGGAACTTGCATTGGGTGGGGGAGAGTCCAGGTTCAGGATGAAGACTGAAAGCCAGAACCCAACGCCACCCCTCCTGTGCTGGCCCCTGCCACCCTTTTGTACCTGTCTCCCTCCCAGATACAACTGGAGACGGGGTCTGCAGGGAGAGGAGATCTCAATTTCTGTACTAATGTGCTTTGTGATTTCTCAATGAAAGGGACTGAGTGCCAAGCCACGTGGGCAGCAGTGGGGATGGGGCCTGAGTACCTCCTTCCCAACCAGAGGGGCTTCTGAGACCCTTGGGGCTGGAGGGAAAAGGAACTGTATGTTCTATTCTGTTCGGGGAGGAGCTAGGACATTCCTGGGTTCATGGTTGCTTCAGGAAGAAGCATGGGGAGGATGAGCAAGAAATTGTGAAAGTGGGAGAGGAAGGCTCCGTCTGCAATGGCCTGGTGCCTGGAAGCAGAAAACCCCTCGGCGGAGAGGGGTGGTCCTCTCGTGCCTGGCCACCTCCACCTTCCCTTCTCACCACAAAGAGGGGGCTGCCCTCTCCCCAGCAATCCTGGCCTTTATTCTATGCACAATCATTGTAAGGGCACCCCTAGGCCAGGCTGAAGGGGTAAGGGCCCTGGAGCACCTGCAATAATCCCAAAGCGGAGGGTAGCCGGAGA